AAGTCTTGTAGGTGCGTTTTTTTAATTAAATAAAACAATTTGTGACAATTTCTTACATAGATGTACTTAAGAAATTATGTTAAAACTCCGAACGTTTCGGCCAACATTTGGGGCCATCCTCAGCGAAATACAAAAGGTTAGACACATAGAGATTTCTTTGCAAACTCACATAACAGATTGAGGTACTACTTAGATGTAAATTTAAATCCCTTCAATTTGGTTTCATGCCAACGATGAATTGTAAAAATACAAATGCTCAGAGGATTGAACGTTATTAATTAAACTAGTTATTCAAAAATAAAGTAAAACACTGCAGGCAAGAATGCAAGAAAGGTCCGATAAATATTAAAGTAATTGTACATATCCGACCATAAATGTATAATTAGATTAAAAAGATGTTATCGTTATGAAAGTCAGAATCGTTATGAAGTAACACAAACTGATGTACATGTCGCACATGATATAAATAAACCAGGGGGAAAGAGAGAGAGAAAATTAAAATCTGACTAATATGTGAAACTAAGCTACATATTGAAAACATGTCGTAAGGATAAATATATGAATAAGTCGCATTACAATTGATTAATAATTTTAGTATACGCATGATTTAGATTATCAGTATCAGATTGTAAATTTAAACTATTTCTTTGTAATTTTATGAAAATTATTTTCGAAGTCACACGTTTGCCCAAATATCTTTCTGTGTCTAAAATCTTCGCATTCAACCAATCAAATTCATGATTGTGATGCAATCTATGATCCGTCATAACTGATTGTGTGCTAATGTTTCTGTTAATATGATTTTTGTGTTCAGAAATCTTGGTTTGTAATTTTCTACCCGTTTGCCCAACATAGATTGCATCACAATCTTTGCAAGAAATCTGATATACCTCATCTCTTTTCGAGTTGTTCGTAAGCACATCTTTATGGATCTTAATATATTTGTCTAATTTGTTGAGAACTGTAGGAAGACAATCTAACGTTCAAGTCACTCATAATATTCCTAAATTTATCCGATAGTAACGGAATGTGAGGTAAAATATAATTCAAGGTTTATTTTCTTTCATTTTGTGTGTGTGTGTGTGTGTGTGTGTTATTAGAAATAGCATTATTCTGTTTATCAGTTTGGTTATAAAAAAGTGACTTTAAACGTAAATTGATTGTCTTAAAAATAAAATTTAATGGATAGTCATTTGCTTTAATAACGTCTCAATAATAAAAAGAATATTCTTCTGATGGAATCTTGAATGCGACAAGAGAAATGCTCGATCACCGTTCCAAATACTACACTTCTCTTCTGTGACAGTGGATGCGAAGACAAATAGTTGAGATATTTTCCTGAAACTGTTGGTTTATGAAACCAATCAAATTCCAGACAATCATTATTAATATTGATATTATCATCTAAAAAATTTAACGACTTGTTTTTTTAACTCTCCAATTTTAATGGTAACTGGAATCTCGGATGGAAAAAAATGAGTTAAAAATATTCAAAATCTCATCAGTCGCATCCGATGGAACAGCTGTAGCAATGTCATTAACATATCTGACATAAAATGGTAATGAGAATCTCAAAGTCCCCAATTCTCTAATCTCCAAATCCTGCAAAACCAAGTCAGTTAAAATTGGAGAGAGAGGGGGCCCCATGGGTAGACCAAAAGTTTGCTTATAAATCACACCATTAAATATGAAAAAGGTAGACTCAAAAATTAATTGGAGAGATATTATAAATTCATTCTTAGGGATGTTACAGCCTCTGAGATACAAGACTATCTATTGTTAATGCTCTCCAATACCAACTCAATTGGAACATTAGTAAAAAGTGAAATGATATCCAATGAGATAAAGACAGTAATTTGTGTCAGTATGTATGTTAGACATTCGATTAACCAACTCAAAACTATCTTTAACATGATAAGAAGCTTTCGGCGTACTACTGTGAATGATATTATGAAAGAACGCAGCAAGAGAGTACAATGGATTATCAATAGATGAAATTATGATTCTCAAAGGGTTACCCGGTTTATGAACTTTAACTAGTCCATACGCCCTCGACAAATTTCCATCAGAACAATATGTCCTTCTATAATCTTTGTCAGCGATCAACTCCGTATTTTTCCATCTTGTGAGGAGTATCCCTAACTTTGTAAGAAATTTGGTTGGATCATTCTTGATCATTATATAGGTATCAGAATCATTCAATATACAGTTCATTTTTTGTTTGTATTCAATATTATCAATGGCTATAGTTATATTACCCTTATCAGTTGTGGTAAAGATAATATCAGGATTTTTACTCATAAATTTTTTTGTCATTTGTAGGAGATGAGAAAGTTGAATATGAATGGATTGGAATTCTTGGAAAATGAGTTCAAACTGTTAATAATCGGAATCGAACGATTCGTGATCGTCAAACGTTTGTCAATATGTATTTTGCTAGTCATATATTCTGTGTTCTTTAAAAATTCAGTTGGCGTCAATTTGGAATTGGAAATGGGTAAATAGAAATTTTCTCCCAACTGTAACAAGCATTGGATATCTGGTAAAATGGATATAGATGATAAATTTATGAACCACTTATCTTTGATTGTTGTAATGGAGGAATGAGGAAGGATTTATAGAAACTTCAGGACAACTTCCTGAAAGGAAGAATGAGGAGGAAATGTGAAGGAGAAATTATTGTTTTGTGAAGATTTTGAATGTGTAATTGTGGATGAATTCGAAGTGCAAAAATAATGTATGGGAAAGATATTACTCTCGGTATCAATTTTTTGTTTAGATAGTAACCATTGAATTTTTTGTCAGGTGTTTCTTATTTGTTCTTGTTTAGATAAATGTCAAAAATAACCTCTTTGTCTATGGAAAAAAGAATTACAAATATATCCCTCTTAGGATTTGTATTTTTACAATTCATCATTGGCATGGAATCAAATTGAAGGGATTTAAATTTACATCATTCGATCTGTTATGTGAGTTTGCAAGGAAATCTCCATGTGTTTAACCTTTTGTATTTCGCTGAGGATGGCCCCAAATGTTGGCCAAAACGTTCAGATTTTTAACATAATTTCTTAAATACATCTATGTAAGAAATTGTCACAAATTGTTTTATAATTGAATCTGCGCACCACCGCGCCTTACTCTCATTTTCCTTGTATTGTTAATGTTTTTTATAAAATATAAATATCTTAACATAATATAAATATAGATATAAATTAAGATATTTATATTTTATTTTTCACTGCAAAAACGGAAAATGCAAAAAAAATTTGGCCAACGTTACACGGTGTTCCCAAGCGGTCACCCATCCAAGTACTAACCGTGCCCAACGCTGCTTGACTTCAGTGATCGGACGAGAACTGGTAGTTTAAGCGTAGTATGAACGTTGGCTGATTGCTTGTATTATTCGGAGACATTTTATCTGGTTTTAATCCGAAAAGAAGATTTTAGAACATGAATATAAATATAAATGAGTCCAATTGACTGGACTCCATTATTCGAGTATTCTGTTGTAACAATTATATGTATAACCGCTTGATTGTTTGACACAGCAAAACAATTTATCAAAAAACGACCAATAAACGAGCAAATTAAGATGTTAAATTAATACTCAATTAATATATATTTGAGATTCAGCAACAATAAAATCGCATACAAAAAATATTAAAATATAAATCGTTATTTTTAATTGAAGATGTGCATAAACGCTCTAAGTCTTGCCGCAGTTTCTGTGGCAGCATAAAGCAGTTTAACACTATCATACCACAGAAACTGCGGCAAGACTTAGAGCGTTTATGCACATCTTCAATTAACAATAAAAATAACGATTTATATTTTAATATTTTTTGTATGCAATTTTATTGTTGCTGAATCTCAAGTATATATTAATTAAGTTAATTTAATATCTTAATTTGCTCGTTTATTGGTCGTTTTTTAACAAATTGTTTTGCTGTGTCAATCAAGTGGGGATATATGTATATAATTGTTATTACCGAATACTCGAATACTGGAGCACAGTCAATTGGAATCATTTATATTTATATTTCTAAAATCCTTTTTTCGGATTAAAACCGGGGAAAATGTCTTTGAATAATGCAAATAATCAGCCAACGTTCATACCACGCTTAGGTCCGTTTCCACCAACGCAGATCATCTTTAATCTCGGTTCAACTTACTCTTTGTCTTTTTCTAGTTCTAAAGATTAGAAAAAGACGAAGAGTAAGTTGAACCGAGATTAAAGTTAATCTATATTGGTGGAAATGGGCATTAAACTACCAGTTCTCGTCCGATCACTGAAGTCAAGCAGCGTTGGGCACGGTTAGTACTTGGATGGGTGACCGCTTGGGAACACCGTGTAACGTTGGCCAGGTTTTTTTTTGCATTTTCCGTTTTTACAGTGAAAAATAAAATATAAATATCTTAATTTATACCTTAAGATATTTCTATTTTGTTTTTCACTGCATTCAAGTACTAACCGTGCCCAACGCTGCTTGACTTCAGTGATCGGACGAGAACTGATAGTTTAAGCGTGGTAGGAACGTTGGCTGATTGCTTGCATTATTCAGAGACACTTTATCTGGTTTTAATCTGAAAAAAGGATTTTAGACATATAAATGTAAATGATTCTAATTGACTGGACTCCAGTATTCGAGTATTCGGATAATAGTCTACCGAATTATCCTATTATTCGAGTATTGATATCCGAACTGATATTTGAATAATTAGAATCTTAATATTCAAAAAGTCAAATTTATCCAAATAAAATAAAAAAAACATCTCCATTATAAGAAATTAGAGATCACAGAACTAAATGCTTATTATTTAAATATGTAGACTGGAATAGTTTGTTACTTCAACTATAATCTAAATGTATAAATCTCTCTCATTAACATTTCTTTATCAAAATTGAAAATTTTTTTAAATTAACTTTATCTTTCTTGTTTCAAAAGGTTGTCAATAGGTCTTAATGATAAATACAATATTTCTTTAAAAAAAAAAGTCACCTTGGCAATTTGAGATAGGCCGCTAGCTGGCTCGGCATGACCCATATTTGATTTAACAGAACCGATTAGCAAAGGAGTAGGTCTATCTTTCTCAAAGAAGACTTTTTCGATTGCGTGAAGTTCTTCAGGATCGCCGACTTTGGTGCCAGTACCATGACATTCAATATAGTATACATCGTTCAGTGGTATATTGCAATCCTTGTAACAGTCTTCCAGCAACCTGGCTTGCATAGTGCTCGACGGAAACGTGATGCCTTGTTCCTTGTAACCATCACAATTTGTCTTACCGTAGACCACTGTAGCGTAGATTCGTTTTGCATTCTTCGCCTTCTGTAGATATATAACGGAAATTGCTTCGCTGCGAGCGTAGCCATTCGCGTCGGCGTCAAATGATTTACTGCGGCCGTCAGGCGACAAAACTCCTGTAATTGTAATTATTATAATAAAATATACAAAAATAATCGCCTATATCTTTAGATATTTGGTATTTTGTGTGTGCGTGTGCGCGCGCGCGTGTGTGTGTGTGTTACTTTATGTTTCTAACTTATTGTGTTTCATATATAATTGTAAATTATTAATTTCTTACAGAATCATATCCTACATGTATGATTAATAATATAAATACTAAAAATATATATGTAGTATATGCTGTAGTATGTATTTTTTATATCGACATATCATCTCTAATAGAAAACTATCAGGAATAAATCTTCTGAAAAGTTACATAACAATGTACAGTTACAATACAAATCCGTTGATATTGTTAATATATGTAACTAATTATGAAAACACATTGTAAAGTTTTAATGAAAATTTTAATCTTTCTCTTTTCTTAAACTTTCTTCATATATGAATATATTATCATATATTATCATATAATATCATATATTATCTTTGATATAGCATAGATAAAATGTTTCTTTGCAATAAATTTAACTTGATTATTGATCGGTATAATTACTTGATTAATAATAAGTATAACTTTGTTTTTATTAGGATTCTAATGAAGGAAACGTGACTTTTAATTTTTTTGTATCATGTTCAGAAATTCATGCAGAAAAAATATGATCGAAGACGAGAGATTATATACCAAGACGAGAAAATTGCAGCGATACATAGGGATGAAGACACAGGTTTGATCCGCCCACAAGAGCGGCGTCGCATTGATTGTCTTGCAAACATCGATAAGCATGTTCCAACGCAATTAAGCTCGAGCTACAAGCGGAATCTAAAGTGTAAGATGGTCCAGTCGCTCCTAGCCAGTAGGAAATTCTATTCGCTAACATGGCTCTGCTGCATCCGGTAATTCCAAAACCATTTACCTAATCGTAATCAAGAAAATTAAAAATAGAAAATCATTTTTTATCAACACACACACACACACACACACCACCACACGCGCGCGCGCCCATACACACACGATCGTTTACATTTACGTCAAATTCGTGTTAATATATTGCCTTCAATATTTAAGTTTACGTGTGATATTTCCTACACTTTATTATTTCATTTTTAGTAATAAACAAACGAGTAATAAAAAATTTCAAAAATATAGAAAATATCAATTCAGGAATTGTTTGTGCATCTACATTTAGGTTAACAAAATGAATCTTGAGTCTTTTGACCCGTTTAGCTGTCCTTTTTACTGTTACATATTAATAGTGAGAATCTACCTGTAATTTTTCGTAAAACCAAGTCTTTTCAGATTCAGAGAAACATGCACCCACGAAAACGCCAGTTCGTGATCCACGTAGCTGCTTTGGATTAACTCCCGCATCAATGATAGCTTCGTAAGCGTGTTCTAATAAGATTCTGCACATCGGATCCATTGTGTGGGCCTGTTTAAAATGGACGCCAAAGAACAACGCGTCGAATTTGTTAACATCGTTAATCTTTCCTGTACGCTGAGGGATGTCTGGATGATCTGTTTACATTAATAAAAACATAATAAATCATTATATTCAACTTGATGTTTTTAATTACGCAATTAGGGTAAAAATAAACATATAATTAGGGTAAAAATAAACATATATAGTACACATATAGGGTCCCATTTTTAATGACGACCTTAAATACTACCATATTTCTTGAACAACGCATTTTAAAGAAAAAATTTTCAATATAAAAAATATAGTGGTTGCATATTGTAAAATATATAATTATATATAATTGCTTAAAAAAAATTACATATTTTGCAATATGCAACTACTATATTTTTTATATAAAACTTTTTTCTTTAAAATCGTTTAAGAGATATTTGAGGTCATCATTTAAAATAGAATAATCTATACACGTACGTTTATATTATATATATATAAATAGCCGATAATAGAGTGAGGACCTGCAAAATTGACAGGTAAAGCTTCCCGTTTCCGGAGTTGTATAGAGTAAAACAATTGACACAATTTAATGGGATAAAAAGGGCGCGAAATTTCAAAATTTCCTTCAAAATACGTTTTTGCAGAACTCGATACGGTAATTTTTCGCCAAGTTATGATAATTAATATGAAAAAAAAAACAATTATTTAGTACGAAATAATGATAAATTGTGAATTGTATTGTAATGATGTCATTATCAGTTCGAACTACATATCAATTATATCGATTATAAAATGTTGATTATTTGAAATCACGCGCGCGCGCGCGTGTGTGTGTGTGTAAGCGTACGCATACATAATTTACACGTACATGCGTGCGCATGACTTGCATAAATCAAAATTTTCCGCACACACACACGCACGCACACGCACACACACATAGCAGCATTACATTTTATAATTCATCACTATTTCATATAAAAAATTTTTTTTTTAAATTGTCATAACTTGACGAAAAATTATCGTACGAGTTCCGCAAAAGTGCATTTTGAAGAGAAGATTTGGAAATTTCACGCCCTTTTTATCACATTATTAAGCTGCGTCAACTGCTTTATTTCGTGCAACTCCGGAAACAGAAGGCTGTACTTTTGCAGGTTGTCACTCTAACATCGGTCATTGGAAAATTATTGATACCACTCTATCGGCATTAGGAATTTCTCAAAGTACAAACTTCAAGCTTCATTTTTGTTTTTTGAACACCTCTGTATCATAGTTATTCACAAGCATTTGAAGTTAATTCGTAAATTTTTCAAACTTTTCTGCTGTATGTACATCGTATTATTTTTTTTTATGCACAAACTATATTTATTAATTACCTAATTTCCATCGGCGATCATCATCCGTAACCATATCTACTTTATTTAGTAAATTGTTTTTGAACTCCTCCACATTTTTTGATTCTGGAAATCTACCGGCAATACCAGAAATAACAATTTCTTCACCAGGTTCAGGTGTCTTGTAACCTTTCGTGAATAATTTCCTTGTAGTCATCGTATGTTCCCAAGGTCTTCAGATTTCGTCAATTTAAAGAAAAAAAAAACAATATTTCTAAAATAAATTATTAAAATATTATTTTGATTGAGAGATGTCTTAATTAATCCATCAATTATAAAACATATTTACAATTAATTTTCTTATCTTATATTTTTGCACCGTACAGTAATTTATGATTTTTTTTTATTATAGGCAACTTAATGAGCTTATCAACTGATTCTGTGAACGATGACTCGCAACTGAAAGACAAGACAGAGGAAAACAGCGAGTTTTATAACGAAGTACATCCCTACCTTCTATGAATTTCATTATTGTTACTTTGAACTTCCTTTAAATATTTACATTACTAGTGAGAAATAAGTCAAATTATGAAAACCTAACTTTCAAGTATTATATATTTATCATAAGAGACTTAAATTTCACAAATAATTATAGAATAACAATGGACTTTTGAGCATTATTTATGTACGTGCATAATGCAATGAAAATTATATACTATTTACGTTTTAATTAATACATGCATTCTTGTTAATTTTTTTTATCAAAAGAGAGTTCTTTATTATTATAAAAACACAGATTGAATTATGACAAATTTTATTGATACAATGAATCTAATAACATTACACAGAGAAGCTACAAATCCATAGTTAGTTTACTCATAATTGAAATTTTCGATTTAGGTAATAAATATTATTAAACTGTACCAAGTTTTACAAATATGTTTGTAAATTTAACGTTTATATATTTTTTAAATATAATTTTTAAGACAGAATAAAAACATTTTTATTTATAAAATAATAATTATTAAAATGTTCTGTTTCAGTTCTTTTCCCTTATGTAACTGATAATAATTAGTTACATACAAAATTGATTAAGCTGTTATGAAACGAAATGTATAACTAATCTCAATCTTCATTATTTGTGTGTGTATATATATATATATATATATATATATATATATATATATGCGTATATGTAACAGACTTGGCCAAATAAAAAAACATACCATTTGACATCATATTCGACTATATGTGTTACGAACAAAATTTCTTTTATAATGCTCTTTTCCTGCCGCTCGTATAATGAATATTCGGCATGGCAGGAACACAGGAGTCAAGGGTGGCCGGATATCACATCAGAATACATTATATATGCTATCATCCTCTATTAGTTACATTGACGTATACTGTAATGCACGAATGTGTTGCAATATCACGTGAGCTACAGGTCATTTACAATTTGTTTTTACAAAAAAATTGTGGCACTTTGTTCCAATAAAATCATTACAAAAAGGAAAGTATATAGAATTACTTTTAAGAGCTGATATTATGTACAACTATTTTTTAGAAAGTGACATAAGTAGCACAACACTATAATTAAGATATATTTTTATTGTCTTCACATTCGTTTTAAACTAAACTATAAAAATACAAAAGTTTTACTTTGATGTAAAAAAGAATATATTATATTATATATATATATATGCTACTAACACATATTAACATTAATTTACATAATATAATCATATAAGTACATTTATCTTCTTATTTATAAATAAAAATTAGCCTTATATATTTATTGTAATTGTATTTTTTTAAAATAAAGCTTATGTTACCTATGAACATTTTTTAAATTTAGAATTCTTATACGAATAAAAGTCATCACGTATCATTTAATCTTTAACCCTCTGGTCGTTTCCAATACATTAAATTTATTCAACACAAATTTCATTAGAACGTTATTTGATACGTTCTCTCTGTTACATGAAATTATTAATGAATTTATAAATAAATGAATTTAACGATATATTATATAATAAAATTTATTTATGTATTACAAATTTATTAATAAAACAGGATTAAATGTACAGAAAAAAACTTGCCGATCAGAGAGTTAATAACATGGCAAGTATTTGAGATCTTTATTAAATGTATGTATAGCATATGTGTTTTAATGAAGTTTTAATAAGTTTTGTTAAAAAAAAGTACAATAACTTATTATAAATAGATACTGTTCTGCTTTTAACTAATTTGTTTCAGACGTCATTTATGCCTTAACTGCTGTTATACATCAACATACAAAAACAGCTTCTAAGCCAAATAGCAATATCGAGATTAAATTAAATGTCATATGTATATAAAATCTATTTTAGTGTTTATGCACTCCAGCGAAGTGTACTTTTTTCCCTTGTCCATCTAAAGCCTCCATTAAGCTTGATGTAAAACTAAATTCTGAGCTACTTTCGTCTTCCTGACCTCTGAAAAAATAATATAATTAATAATCTGTTATATTAAAATGTTTCGGTTTTTTTATGTTGATAATTTTCTCTTGAAAAAAGAGAAGACATACAGTGTATCGAGACTTGTTAGACTGCCGTTCAATGTTGGCATACTAACAAAACCATCTATCTTCAATAATTCGAGGTAAGAATTAATAGTGGCCACATAAATTCCTTTTGAACCAGCTGTGCCTAAATAACGTGGACTAGATAATTCGATTAAGGTACGTTCAGGATTCCTTTCCGAAGAACTATATGCTTCTGCATCGAGTTTCACAATCTCGACAGACGAAAAATGAATAATAAATAAGTACGGTTTGCAGAATGCTAAAATAAAGTAATAAGTTATGTGATTAATATATAACATTAATATGTAAGTAAAATGATATCTACCAAAGGAAAATATTTACCAAAAGCAAATGGTAAATGATTCCACACTGGATCAATAGCGCGAGTCCTTCTACCATTTTCGTCTACAAATACACCAAACTCATTGTAGCACAGTAAAAGCTCCGCCGTGCCACATATATTTGAAATATTTAGAACACACACAGGAAATGTGCCAAGTTTTGCTGCACCCGATATTGTCGCTTTAATTGAGCTATTGTCTTCTTCTGGGAATTCTGTGAATAAATGTTTTTTTTTTCCAGAATTATATTTCTTATTCTCAGATAAAAATTATTATAAATTTCCTACTCGTATCATGAGAAATTACTTACTAGTTTAAGAATTGTGTGTAACATATAATTTTCTTTGTGTACTTACCATCTACAACGTAAGTTTGCAGATCAATCTGTAAAAATTTGTCACAACCTACAATAAGACGATTTGTAGTAAATATAGCACAACTGCAAGGTGTATCAAATTGTGTATCAAATTTATAAAGCCTGACGAATTCTCCGAAATCTTCTTCGATTTTCCATTTCAATAATCTGCATTAATATATAAAATATTACATCTAGAATTATATTTCAATATTGTATTATATTTATAAATGAATTGAAAGTTACATACATCACACGAGATGTGGTTGCGGCGCATAGTACATTGCCTTGTAATTGGTAAAGATGGCAACTATCAGAGATAGATAGTACAGTCTTTGTACCGATTGCTGGTCTAGAACAGTCGGCGGCCAATGCATTATTCTTCAATAGCCTCAAGTTGCAGTATACTAATTCCCTGTATTCACCGGCTATCATTAAAGCCAGATCCAAGTGAGAATGTAAAGAAAGCTGGTGTATTTGCTTGACACCGCGAATTGTAGTGAGCGTTTGAGATTTTGAAGCACAATATGAAAAGAGACCTTCTTTCGCACCTAGCAAAAGTACATTTTCCGCACCCAGATCCACAACACAGTTCAAATCCAACTAGAAATAAATGGATAATTTTAATATAAAATCGGAAAACGAGAAACTAATGCAAAATTTTATACAAAAAAGATATTATAAAAGAAACAACTATTACAATTAAATTTAATTTGTTAAATGAAAAACTGTTAATCTTGTCTTTTTGTTTAGATTTTATAAAACTGATATATGAGGATTTAGTTAAATCTTAACACGTCACTCACCTGATGTTTTTCTAATCTGAGTAGAGTTTGATACTTTTTACATTTTGATATAGGATACGAATTTTGAACAGTAACAATCTTTAAAGTTTCAAGCCATTTCCTCTTATCAGCTTGACTCAGTGCCATGACGTCCAATCTAGATGAAGGCCAACAAGTTGTCACAGAATTCGACTCTATTCTAAATATAAATGGGATGTCAGATTTTGCTGTATCCAATACATCAGGATGTTGCACTACTTCAGAAACATTAAAGCCATTATTCTCTATTAAATTTAAACGACTGATTGGTGCCACTCCCGTACATGGCTGACGTTCGTAGAGATACAGACACGGTTCTTCCAATTTCAAATATTTTCTTTCCCAGCAAGATTTTGATTTACTAGGAACTTTTACCCATCCTTCCATAAAAATTTCATTCTCTTTGCAAGGAGCTTTTTGTAGATCCTGCAAAAGATATATATGGATATATAAATTGTTATTAGTCACGAGATTACAAATAAATAATAGTAAATTTAATTTTTTACCGTATCTGGTTTATCCGGCTGATCTATCGCCAAAGTCTGAACGCTATCTCCGATCGATGATAAACTCTCATCGCTATCTCTATGAGATTTAGGATAGTATTTAGACAAACCACTCGGTAAACCACAATTGGCAGGTACAGACACCGCACATTTTAAATGCGTCATAATTTGACACTCGCTGCAAATCCGAGCATGTCTTCCAAACTGTATAGCCTCTGGACATGCTGCACATTTTCCGGCACGCATAGGCAATTCAACATTAAATCTATGTGGAATGTTGTGTCCTATCCTTTGCGGAGATAACTGCCTAAGTAACGAGGTACTAGTTTCTGTAATATTCTTCACCATTTTGCCTTCGCGTTCTGGCATCATCGGAGACGTAGGTGCAGATGCAGGCGCGGAAGCAGCCCTAGCTTTCTGGATTAACAGCTGATCTGTCAACGTCTTCACCTTTGCTTGTTCTTTAGCGAGCTGATTCTCCAATTCGCGATATCCCACAGGCATGCTGGTACCCATAGGTGGCACGTTCTCTTTCTGTTTCATACCAAGCATTTCGCATATCTTCGTCTTCTTTTTTTTACCACCTCCTTCCAATTGAAATTGCAAATAATCAATCAGTTTAGTT